GCACTGCTGTAATAATAAACGTAGCTTCACCATTTCATGATTCTCTGAGTCATATATTATTTTAAATTTTTAATAATTTCCTGCTTTCCATATATATATTCATGGATTGCATGATAAAAAGTGAAAGGATGGTAAGAAAACTTGATACAATATCGGGAAAACTAGAACTTAATAACATTTGTAGGGTGCAGGGAACAAAGGTTCCATCTAGTGAGGAATCTTGGTATTGCAACTGCGGGACGGTCAGCTAAAGTTTCATATGGAAAGTGTGATGTTAACTTTGCATAAACTTGATATCATGTACTTCACGTTAGATAGAGTGACGTGTAGTTTATGTAAAATACACGTACACTTTGGGGACGTAAATATTGGATAGTAAATTTGACGCAAACGTGGTGTCACTTTCATGGCAATCGCAAGAAATTTACATTGTTTGCGAAAAATTGATATGTTGTTCGCGTAAGCATGCTGCTTAGGGATGAAAGAAAAGCCAGTGTGCCTTTTGTGCAAAAAAGTGTTCTATGAGAACAAATTGGAATTTGTGAAGCACTTACGAAATATGCTCAGTGTGTTTGACCGAAAGTTTCCAGTTGGTGCTCACAGCCGCGCCAGTGAAATTGTCCAATTGAAATCAACTTTTCTGGAGCAGCGGCGAACATGGCTCTGTGGATCGACATTTCCGTAAGTCAGTAAGTTTAAGCAAGTGAAAATACGGATTTTGAATTCTTGACATGAATTTGGAGGCGGAGTTGAGATGTGCTTTAACTTCAGATATTCAACAGAATTTTCTTCAGTTGGTCAGGGGAAAAGATTGCCAAATTACACACTGACTAAATTTTACACTGATCAATAATCGAGAAAGAGTATTGCAAATTCTTGATTCCTTTGTCTCTAACCCATAAGTGCCTGCTAGAATAAAGTTCTTTCAAGTAAATTCTCAGTTTTATTCTATAATCAGGATGATTCCAGGACTATTAGAAGGCATTTTTACTCGTGTGGCAAATTTACTGGTTCAATCGCCACACATGTGGGGTGTCTCAAAATCCTGGTGACCACCCCGACTCTAGCTTCTCGGAGGTCTTGAACTCTGCCAGTCCCTGTGTGTCGGGAGGATCTCACCATGGTATGCGGGACCCATATGACGGTCCACCACGTGGGAACGGGGCCCACCGTACATTTAGCTCCAAAAAGAAGCTGGAAACCGACGACCGGATGAACGACCGACGACGATCCCGACAGCCAAACGACCCGGAAGAAACGAGCCGTCTCGGAACGACCCACGTCCTCCCGACGACCGAGAGAACAGACCTGGAGCCATTCCCCGATCGACCTCATCTCGGTTCCACGAGATTTTAAGAACAGGAGCAGGGATTCACGTGGTACCGAAGAAACACTCGTGTCTCCAATCGTGGGTTTCCAGGAACCGTGGTAAGTTCCCACATACCAATGGATCTCCACTTTGTCTCCGTCAGCAGTCTTTACTTCTCCCACCCATGGACGAGATGCTCTGTCTTCCGTATAAACTGCGGCTAGCATTCCTGCAGAGATACCCTCAGTTCCAGAGAACATTCCCCGCCGCCTGGTTCCCACTGGTCCGATGATAGGCTGAATGGAAGAAATCGTATCGTGATGAAATAACAAGTTATATCTTCTGCGGCTAGCATTCCTGCAGAGATACCCTCAGTTCCAGAGAACATTCCCTGCCGCCTGGTTCCCACTGGTCCGATGATAGGCTGAATGGAAGAAATCGTATCGTGATGAAATAACAAGTTATATCTTCGTTAGTTGTTACTTAAATTCGTTAATGGAAACGATTCTTTATTTTTAAAAGCTAATTGAGTTTCATCCCGTCGCATTCAAAAGCGACAACGTTATGGTATGCCCGATTGAGAAATCGATAATGGTACCAGTGGCGTAGCTATCGAGTGAGCAGGCAGTGCAATTGCACCAGGGCCCAAGGGCAGGGCCACGAAAAAGAGGGGAAAGGCGGGGAGCGAGCGCTGGCGATTGGCTAAGGCCAATGGGGGAAGAAATTATTATTCGTCCGCGTCCCCTGCCCCCCCCCCTTCCCAGATAAGCGCATGCCCGCAACAAAACCGCGTTCCATATTATTGTTTAAATGATAGAAGAGAAGGTATATCCTGGATATGTAAGGAAAATATGTAAGGTGGGTATACAACGCGTTTTAAAGCCTCGTAAAACTTTTTAAATGAATGATTTTCGGTCATGCGGGATACCAATAAAAAAAAAGACGATTCCATCACAAAGTGAAAATGAGCGTTAAATCCATTTTCGATTCGATCCCGGGTAATGAAATAATGAGAGTTCAATTTGTGGGAAAACCAAGTCCACGGGAAATTTCACCAACGATTATCGTCCAGGTTCCAGGGAGAGAAAAAAATGGGAAACATTTATTTCCGGCCAATTTTGTCATCATCTGTCAATCAACTTGAATTCCATTGATGAATACCCACTCCCGTCTGAAGTCAAAATTGAGACATCGATCGTTCGCAGATTTGACAATGAACCCTTTCCTGTGTTCATTGCGTGGGGTAACTTCCGAGTGTCCTGCCTTGGGACGTAGTGATGATTTCCAATCGATGCAGTATATCGTCTGAAGTGAAAGGGAGACGGGGCGGTTCAATTTCGCCCGGGAAAGAGAGGAGAGGTGGTCGCGTTTAACTATAGTGGAAACCCAAGGAAAAGCAGACAGGAGAACCGATGGAGGAAGGTTCTCTGGATGGCTGCAAGGCAGACGGTCGACCTCGATAATCGAGGCGAGAAGGGATGTCTGACCTTGGGACGCGTCCCCTGCGATGATTTCCCTCTTCCACTCCAAGGCGGGAAACAGGCGAGCCTCTACGCAAACAGCTGATTTGTGACCTCCGTCGCGATTGACGGTCTCGGTCGTGCGGGTTCACTGGGTGAGAAAAGCATCACCCCAAGCTGAAACGTACTGTTTTTTTTCTTCAGGGCAGGGGTTTCAAACATCCGGCCCGCGGAGGTGGTTCATCCGGCCCGCCGTCTATTCTTGAAATTTCCCCTTGGATTGACTGTTAGCAAAAATTTCGGTGAAAAAGTAAGGGTGCGGTCCGCAGGCATCTGCAGGAAAAGGAATAGGGCTCAGCCGACCGATTTGACACCTCTGCCCTGGGGGAATCCGATTCACGGAAGTATTCTTGATCTGGTGCGTATCTTCCGGTGCCTCTCGACGATTCCCAAGACCATCAAAAATTTCATTCTAATCTGTCCAATTTTGTTCGGCACGAGGAATAAAACAGCTTTCGATAACGACTGGACCATTTACATGGGTCGATTTCGGTGAAGGTTCTTCCGATGAGAAATGCATCGTGATGCATCAGTCAATGCTGGGGAATCGGCCAAAGAATGGCTTTCGTTAAATCCCACGCTGAATCGAAAATAACTCCCAATTTCGGCACGAAGGACGTCGGCCCAGACAATTCTGAAACCACGGCTGTTTTCATTCCTGTTTCCATTTCCATTCCATTCGACGCGAGATTCCCCCGAACATGAAAAAAATAGTCAACGAATCGGGTTCCTGCAATCAACTGAAAGTTAATCACGATGGGTAATTAAATGCATGCAAACTGGGAATGGAGAGACTGACGTGTTCGATGGCGTTATTAGTCAGTTCGGGAGGTCCTCCATTCGAAAAAAAATGACTTAGAATGGAACTCGTTACCATTCCTTTGACCAACGATTGACGTTTTTTAAATTGATTTTTATGTAGCAATATGTAAATTAGCGCAATCAAGTTAATGAAGTCGATGACCCCTTTTCCATCGCTCTCATGGGACTATGCGTTCATCGTCTGACACCCTCTCGAAAGAAAATATTTTTATCTTTTGCAAAGGAAGGGATAAGCAGACGTGCAGTCCGGAAAAAGAAGGAAACGAAAGCGGTATATTCCGAGAATTTTTTTTCCGTCTGGAAAAGAATTCCCCGAGGGGGAATGCCGCGACACCACGTCGGCGGCAGATTCCCCTTCGATTCGGAAGGAGGGCAGGTCAGAGGAAAGGTGACAGTGAAGGCCACGCACGCGGGCGGGACGGGGGTGGAGGAGGGAGCTCCACCGTCTCTTCCTTTCATTCTGGAGTTGACTTCCGTGTACTCATCGAGCCTCGACCCGCTTCTCCTACACGCCGGCCTTTCGATGGTATGAAATATGTTCTTCCCAGCTGTGTAACGTAGACACTTCTCTGCCATAATAGCCCGTCCACCTTTCGTTGTTGCAATGCGTAATTGATTACGGGAAGGGACAAAGGAATGCCATACGCTGCGAATCCTAATTTGAGTTGGTCCACGCGAAGACCATTTGCACTGTCAAGCATCGAACCAATTTCGCAGCATTTGAATTTCAGGACAGCCCTTTAATATTCCCTGCAATCGAATTTGAAAAAAAAAGCGGTAGCGGGGACTTTCGGAATTAGTTTTCGGCATTCCGTAGTTGAATCCCGGCAGGAGAAGCGACAAAAAGTAAATAGGTATTGCAATCTCTTAGAAAGTAATTACTGGATGGTCTTTAAATTATTTTTGTTAATTTTATTGTTGGCAGGCGATTCTAATGAAAATTTGCAGGCGTGTAGGCAAACTTATTTTGAGGTTTGTGCGGCATTTCCAAGCAAATTTCCAGGTACTTAATAATTCATTTTCATGGTTTCCGTACTGTTCCCAGACGCGAGAATGTGCACGACCATTTGGCATAGTTTTTTTCTTTATTTACTCTAGCTCTAGCGGCTCCATAGACCGCTCCCCCAGCCCGTAACCAGTCTCCATGGGCTCCTCACCCAAGTGGGGACAACTGAGTGGCCGTAGATGATGTCCTTCATTGGGATGGGTCTGTGGTTTTCTGGGAAGCCATGATGATCAGCAGCAGAGATTCGGCACCGGTATCCCCACCACTCACCTTCAAGATGGAGGGAACTTTTCTAAAAGTAAATTTGGTAAGACATCACGTTCTTTTTTTCATCTTTTCATGGATGAGGTTCTCTTAAATCAACCAAAGTAAATTCATAATTTCCATCCCAGGTGTTTGGTGAATGAGAGGGCCTTGAAGACCTCTTCTCCATCGCATACCCGCCCAGCATCACCGAGCTTACTGGAAATCCTTGCTGGTCAGTTCTCCCCGGAGGCACCAAGTTCAGGTTAATTGAGTTCAATTATCTTCGATGTTGAATATCAGTTTCTAAAAGTCATCACTGAGTAATGCCTATCTCTGTTTCACTTGTAAGACAAAATCTGATGCGAATAGTTGACCTTTTTATGGGTTTCAAGTAAATGTGGTGTTAGGGATAGCATTAAGAGGTGCAATTGAATGCCCTGGGTTCGGTGGTGTAGTGTTAGCACCCCTGAACGGCAATCTGGAGGCCAGAGTTCAATTCCCGGTCGTCCCCTGGCTCTCTTTCGCCCTCTCGTGCCATCCAACTCCTTCAACAGGTCACTAATGCATAATATAAATTCATCTTGGAAGCATTTATATGTATATTTCTGCTTATGGCAAGAATCAATTGACGCCATTCTTGTCAGGGTCATATATGGTGACAGGAAATTTTGGAATGGAAATTTATACCAATGTTTAATTTGCTGATACAGGTTGTGCTCCAGACCCTTCCATGGAGAGGGGAGTTCTAGTGAGGTCTGCCCGGACCGAGGGGGAGAAGCTCCTCTTGTGGCCCGTCAACTATAACCCATAGTTAAAAGGCACATGTGGGGTCAGTAGGGACGTCTTGAAGTGCAGAGCTCTGAGCTCTCAGGCTTGTTAGGATAGTCAGGATCTGGTTGCTTTAGAGGATTTCGGATTTTTTTCCCCCTTTTAATAAAGGGGGAAATCAGCTAACTGCCTCGCGTGAGCTTGCTTCGCTTGTTGAGCCTATTGCTATCCCAAATATTAACTTTAATAAATTGGCGTCTAAATGTGGAATTAATATACAAGGATTTAAATACTATGAAGCAAAAGTCTTCTAATTAAACTGATACCTAACCTCAATATATACAAATAAAGGAAGCTTGAACTAAGACCAAATCTTTCTAGTTCCCTTTGACCTAACTTAACGTGGCCTTGTCTACTCTAACCATCCGTAGCTAACGTGGTTTTAGTGCTAACCCCTGACCTTAACCAACCATAACCTGGTCTAACTCCATTAAAATTCACATGACAAGGTCACGTTGGGTGAAGATCTTTGAAGGATTGAAATGTTCCACAATTCTAATGGTACGATAAAAGGTGCCTTTCGTTGCAATCACCAGTCCAATTTGATGGCAACCAGGGAACAAAATTCATCAGTTCAAACGTATCATCTATTTTATTTATATATGTATATATTGAGAAGGTATTGAAGATTGCAGTATTTTATTTAACTGAATTACATGTCTCTCTTCGTGCTAAATTGCTTTAGATTGATGCATGCCTTTAACTATAATTGAACCTTCGTGTCAGCAGTCGATCTCCAACTTCGCTCCTCAAGGTCTATTTGAACTTAATTGGTTTCTCTTCATGTGGGAGGGGAGTACTAATTTAGTTGGAAATTAGTGAAAAGATACATTGTTGGATTTTGTTGGATATTGAATTTTCGCTACACTGAGTGGAGGATATTACTTTAGTTTTGACGGGAGGGTTGAAGTTAGTCCTATCGTTGAAAGCAGTTCAGTTTCCACCATTTGCCGCTGGTTGCAATTGGACGACTTGATCCTTGATGCTTCCAATACTAGACCCCGAGCTTCCCCAGCGAAGTTAGGCATTTACAGAATGTGGGTGACATGAGTTGATGTAGCGGAAGGTCACAAGGTCTTTGAGTTTGCTCCGTGGTTTCTTTTCCAGAGAGAGAAAGCGCCTTTCGCGCAACTTTATTGAGGTGAGTCAAAGTCTCTTTGTTCCAACTTAAGTTCACAACTCCTGTCTTGATTGTTTGTTCTTCAAAGTGCTTTTTCCTTTCATTCTTACTTTTTTTTAATTTTTACCTTGGTTGCCAGGTTGGTTCAGGCACTTACCAATTGTGCAGGACAGATACCATTGCCTGGGTGGCAGGGCCAGGATGGCCTCATCTACCATATGGGCTTCGCATCGGCTCCGAGTCCACTTGCTCCAACTACTCCATTTCAACTGGGTGGACGTGACTAACGTCCCATAAAGGAGAGTGCTGAGGGAATCTGGGGTCGTGCGACGGCCAGCGACTCTGATTCAGCACTTGTCACCTCAACCCTGAAGGGGCCTTTTCCACCAAGAATGGTTATTTTGGGGATAGGTCCTTTTTTTTTAATGAGACTCGTGGATGAGATTATCGTAGATGAAGCAAGTAAAATGCACCAATTCTATTTCAGGTGTTGGGTGAAAGAGGCCTTTTTCCAGCAGGAGCCTCCTTCTCCATCGGCTCCCAGCTCAGCATCTCCAAGTGCACCAGGACATCTTGCCCAAGATGCATCATCTCCCCATTGGCAAAGTTTAGGTTAATTTTGTTCTTATAATATTTTCTTTCAATTCTTTTCAATTGAAACTACATTTTGAAAAGTATTCCTACATTTTGTGATTTGTGTATCACTGCTAATATATTTTCTATACAGTGTGTTCGTATTTAAACGCGACATAGGGAATATGTTGCCGCCTGTAGTTGATCGGCGAGCGCAATAAGGCATGCCGGGTTCGCCTATCTGCAAGGAAACGCTTAAAGGACCATCGTTCACTGGGTTTCATCCTTCCATGTATGCAACCCGGTTAGCCGTAGAGTAAGCGGGAACTTCACAAACAGGCGGCAAAAGTTTCCCTATGTTGCGGTATACTGCATCGTCACGGAAGTACTTTTTTCATATACCAAGTTTCGATGGTTCCACGCTGCAGTTCGTCTGTAGCAATAAATATAGTTTTCTCTTACAAACTCTTGTTTTCTAATGGTTCCGAGGGATCTACAGGGTGTGTCAAAAGTGTCTATCAACAGCTATAACTCGGCAGGAAGGAATTGCAACATTTTTTTTGCATAGGAAGGAGCGTACGGTAAATCGCCTAAATGGAACGTTGAAGAAAAATCGTCTTTAAATCCAGCCATGTTTATTGAGCACCATGAAGCTGGATCACTCGATGAATGCGATCCATCATTAAAGGTTGCCGAAGTAAACTCCGGCAGTATTCTCAGTGATGCGTTGCTTTAGGTCAGGAGTGCCAAACTCGATTAGACGGTGGGGATGAACGCCTTCAGGGGTGATTAGGGCCACGACGAAATTGCAACACCTTTAATGCAAATTTTCTTAATATATTGCCCCATGTTTACTCGTCACTAAGGGACCTATCCAAAGTTCAATCTATATGCTCCTGGTAATTGAAATTTCGTTTTTGTGAAATTCTGCATGCAATCGAACTAAAAAAAAAAACAGCCAGAACGAATCCTTTCGGAATCTGATCCTTTAAGGTTCGGAATTCGTTCTTTATTCAGTAGTTAAAGGTCTGCAGGAGATTCGGCGAAAAGAAAATTGCGATTGCTATTACCTGGGGGAAAAAAAAAAAAACTTTGAACTTTCAATCCGATTGTATGTAGGCGATTCTGATGAAATATTGGGAGCAAATACGGCAACTCAATTTCAGATGTGCGGAATTTCAAATCAAATTTCCAAATTCTAAAAATAACTAATATTCCTGGTTTCCTTACTTCTTTTTCCATGTGTTGCTTCAGCTGCTCCATCACTTACTGATTCATTGACCGCTCCCCCAGCCCTTAACCGGGCTCCTCACCCGATCGGGGACAACTGAGTGGACATGGCTGATGTCCCCCGAGAGGATCAGGCCGAGGGTTTCTAGGGAGGCAAGATGGTCAACGACCCTGATTCGCCATCGGTGTTAAAGTCACTCCGTCTCAACAATGAGGTAATATTTTCTGCACATATGTAATTGTGGTAAGAAATCAATTTCTTTTCATTGTTCATGGATGAGGCTCTCTTAAATGCACCAATTCTATTCCAGGTGTTGGGTGAGTGGGACGACATTCTTCAAGCGGGTGCTCCTTTCTCCATCGCCTGGCACCTCCAAGCCTACCGGAATTCCTCGCCGAGCAACAATTATCTCTCAAGAGGTACAAAGTTCAGGTTAATTGTCTCATTGATGAATATTCAGCATCAAGCATATGATTACTAGATGTGGACAGTCTGAATTTTTTTTAAATATAACTATCTCCAGTTCACTTGTAAAACTAAATCTATTGTGGTTAGATACATAGAAAGGGATCAACTAAAGTAAATCAATCTGGCACGGTGAAATATTCGTTCTTTGTCCTGCCCTTTCCTTATCCTGGAATTCAATTGGAACAAATTTCTTCCCATCAAATCAGATAATCATGTGGAATAACCTTCTCGCATCTTCAGTTTTTTGATAGGGAAGTTGACATCTTCTTATGCTTACATAAATACTTTATATACGCAATCATTAATGCAGAAATGCACATTTATATGTATGTCTTTTCATGGCAAGAATCAATTGACGTAATTTTTCCTGTCAGGGTCATGTGTTTCATGAGAGGAAGTGTATAGACATCGAAATTCATCTCCATAATTGCTTTTTTTGCGGATGCAGGGTGTGCTCCAGACCCTTTCATGGAGAAGGGAGAAGCTCCTCATGGCTCGTCAAATATAACCCATAGTTAAATGGCACCTGTGGGGGCAGTAGGGACGTCTTGAAGGGCAGAGCTCAGAGCTCTCAGGCTCGTTAGCATAGTCTGGAACTGCTTGCTTCAGAGTTTCGGATTTTTTCACATTGATTAGCATATCGCCTCACTCTAGCCTGTTTCGTTTGCTGAACCTGTTTTCGCCTCAAAAGTAAATTGTTAAATTTGTGTCTCACTGTGTAATTAAAATAGTTACTTCGAAGCAAATACTTGTGAATAGGAATAAAGGAACTTCTATACCTAACCTCAATATATACAAATAAAGTAAGCTTGAACTAAGACCAAATTTTTCCAGTTGCCTTCGACTAAACCTAACGTGGCCTTGTCTACCCAAACCATCCTTAGCTAACATGGCTTTAGTTCTAACCCATGACCCTAACTAATTAACTAACCCTAACATCGTCCAACTCCACTAAGTCACATGACATGGTCACGTTGGGTAATTAGAACTTAGATTGAAGTGAAATAGTTCCACACTTCTCATGGTATGATAAATGGTGCCTTTTGTAGCAAGCACCATTCTAAGTTTGAAGGCAACCACGGGACTACATTCAAATCAATTCAAATGTTCAAATCAGTGTAAACGTTGTCTACTTGATTTATATATGTATATATTGAGGGAGGTATTGTTGAAGATTGCATTGTTTTAATTTCTCAATTACCTGTCTTCCATCGAGCTAAATAATTGCTTAGGATTGATGCATGGCAGCAATTATAATTGAAGCTTTGCGTAAGTCTGTCTCCAATTTTGCTCTTCAAGAGCTACTGGAATTTGATACATTTTGTTTGAATTTTGAATGAGGAACTAACTTAATTTGGAAATTATCAGATTCCTTGTTGAGTTTTCGCTAGATTGAGTTGAGAGGGACAATATTTTCGTTTCATGGGTAGTCCTGAGGTTAGTCCTATAGTTCAAAAGTAGTTCAGTTTCTCCCATTTGCCGTTGGTTCCAATTAGATGACTTGATGTTCCCTGTTGCCTCCCATACAAGACCGTGAGCTTCCCCAGACAAGGTAGTCATTTACAGAATGTGGGTGACATGAGTTGACGTGGCAAAAGGTCATAAGGTCTTCGCTCCAGATTTTGCTCCCTGGTTCAAAAAGAGTTTCCTCCCCGAGAGATCGAGAGGGGAAGAGGAAAGCGCCTTTCCTGGAGCTTCAAGGTGGTGAGAAAGTGGTACTTAGTTGCAACCTTAGTTCATAACTACTGTCTTGAATTTTTATTTAAAGTTCATTTTCTTTCAATTCTTACGTTTTCTTTTACCACTGCTGCCAGGTTGGTTTAGGCACATGTCAATCGTGTCGGAATAGCAGACACAGAAACCGTTACCTTGGTGGGAGGACCATGATGGCCTCATCCCAGATTGGCCTCTGCATTTGCTCCAGGTCCTATTGCTCCATGCACTCCATTTCCATCGCCTCCATGGACCGTTCCTCTAGTCGGTAACCCAGCTCCACGGGCTTCTCACCTCATCAGGTACGATTAGGTGGACATAGCTGGCGTCCCCCCGAAAAAGATTTGGATGAAGTACTCGTGTGAGGCATAATGGGCAGCGACTCTGATTTAGCATTCATCTCAACCCGGAAGAGGACATTTTCACCAGAAATGGTCATTTTGGCGAGAGATCCCATTCTTTTTTTGGGATAAATTTATCCTAAATGTACCAAGTAAAATGCACCATTTCTATTGCAGGTGTTGGGTGAGAGATGAGACCTTTTCCAGCAGAAAACCCCTTCTCCATCGTCTCCCAGCTCAGCATCTCCAAGTACACCGGCCACTCTTGCCGAACATGCGGCATCTCCTCGAATGCAAAAAGTAAAGGTTAGTCGTGTTCTTTTAATCCTGAAAAATTGGAGAAAAAACTATAGGTTCTGAAATAATGTATTCAGTTTGTGTGAGCTTTGTCACTGCGAGTAAATTTTCAATATACTGCATTTCCTCAAAACTTTTCTTTCCCGTACCTAATGGCAATTGTTTCTTACTGAAATTTGTCGATAGTAATAGTGTATTCTGCTACAATCTGCTGTATTCTATTGGTTCCAAGACATCTACAGGGTGAGTCGACGGCGTCTTTGAATGGCTGGAACTCGACAGGAAGTAAATTTTGAACAAATGTATTTTTTTGCTTAGGAAAGAGCATACGATAATTGACGTAAATGGAACGTAAACTTTTTTTTTTGGACTAAGTGATGGTAATTGCTTGACATTATAAGGCACCGTGAAGCTTGATCACTCGGCGAAGCCGAGTCGTCATTGAATGGCAGGTTGTTAAATGTCGAAGTCAAATCCAGCAATATACTCATTGACGCGTTGCCTTAGACCGTGCGGATATTTTCGGCAAATACCTAGTTTTCAATAAAAACCCACAGCCGGAAGTCGATTTGAGTCTGGCCTGGCGACCTGTGTGCCGAATGTATAGGCTTCCGCCGACCTATCCACCTGTCTTTGGAGTAAAACGACGCTTCGATTCAAAAAAGGTTTCCTCCACAAATAGAGAGCAAATTACCAACGACGACGCTCTTCTCCCAGGAAAGTGTATCGGGCATTTTCATGCTGCCATTTGGAGCAGCAAAAATGTTGCTTATCGTTCTGTGTAGACCCAAGACATAAGTATTCCATAGGAATTTCTATGTTTAGTCAATTAAAGGGCTTTCATATGCAAAAAATAGTTTTCAAATTACTACATTCCTGCCGAGTTATAGCAGTTCAAATTCGTTCAGTGACATTCAACTTACCCTGTACATCAACCCTCACAAGCTAACCAAGTGCTCCTTTTTTTCCCCTTCATTTCAATTTTGAAAATTTATGGTCCCATTGGAGTGAGGTCCAGTGAATTTTTTAAAATGCTAATTGGTATATGGTTTCCAGCGGATGAGGACTTGAAGCTATTCCATGTTTGCTCGGAAAGAAATGCTGAAAAATTTTACTTTTAGTGTCCAATTGTGCTTGGAACACTGAATTATTTCATTGCGACTTCATTTTTCAGAGTTAATTACTGGACAAATGTGTGAAAATGCATCGTCTGGTATTCACCAGTATTACTTATGCATGAATTTGTTTTTGAAGCAGGTGGGTCACGTCAATGGTGAGACAACTCCAGAAGCTTAGGGAGATGACCTTGGTGGCCACCAGTTCCGCTTGCAGACGAGGCCTGGCACTCCATCGCAATGGGAGGCAGAACTTCCACACGTCCCATATGTCAATGCCTCGACCACTCCAACGAATCGGATCCGAAGGAAAGAAGAGGTTATGCCTATACCCATGGAGACGCGTCGTCGGTGATCAGTGATCTGTCATCTTAAATTCACATATTTAATTTAAAATTTGCATTCGTTGTGTGGGAATCCTATATTCGAGTTGACATTCTCTAAATGCGGTTGAAGTTCTTCTGACTGATGTTAATGACGGCTCAAACTGTTTTATTACATATGGTCTATATGTTTGACCGTCAATTTGAGGGGAAAGTATTCCAAATGTCTGACGGTGCTTGAAAAATGCTTAAACTAATTTTCCTCATGGCAAATGGAATTCTGAAGCTCAACACAACCTCATGTCGATGTTTTGGTGAAATTCTTAATAGAATAGCCTGATGAAAGTCTTAATGAGAGGACAATAGCCTTCAATAGTGAATAACTTTTTGAAAGAAAATTTTATTTTCTTGAAGTTTCAATCAAGTGGAGCTCTCAGGCTTGTTAGCATAGTGTTAGCATAGTTAGCATAGTGTGGAAATGGTTGCTACAGAATTTCGATTTTTTCCCACTCATTTATTAGCTTACTGCTCCATTTCAGTCTGCTTCGTTTGTTGAGTCTGTTTAGTCCTCAAAGTAAATAAATTGGCGTCTAAGTATGTAATTAATATACCTATATATAAATACTTCGAAACAAATGTCTTGTGAATGGGAGTGAAGAAACTGATACCTAACCTCAATATATACATATAGTTAGCTTGAACGAAGACCAAATTTTTCCTAGTTGCCCTTGACCTAACCTAATGTGGCCTTGTCTACTCTAACCATCCTTAGCTAACGTGGTTTTAGTTCTAACCCCTGGCCTAATAACCCACCCTAACCTCGTCTAACTCCACTAATTCACGACAAGGTCACGTTGGGTAATTACTACCATTGAAGCGAACTTCCGCCCTTCTAATGGTACGAATAATGGTGCCTTTTGTTGCAAGCTCCAGTCCAAGCTTGATGGCAACCATGGGACTACATTCAGATCATTACAAATGATTTGTTTATTTCATTTATATATGTATATATTGAGGTGGTATTGTTGAGGATTGCAGTGTTTTACTTTCCTCGATAACATGTCTTCCATCGGGCTAGATTCTTGCATTAGATTGTAGCAACCATACCTCAATTTGTATTAGCAGTCGTTCTCCAATTTTGCTCTTGAAGAGCTCCTGGAATTTCCTATTGTCCACCATTTGCCGCTGGTTTCGATTGGACAACTTGATGTTCCCTGCTGCTTCCCATTCTTGACCTTGAGTTTCCCCTGTCAAGGTAGCAATTTGCAGATAGGCCATGTCAACTTATGTCACCCACTCAGGTCACAAGGCCTTTGGCAGAGGTTGCCCCCCTGGTGCAAGAAGGGAAAAGCATTTTCTAGATTCAAGCGTGTAACAAAACTCATCAGTGTGATCTGATTTGTCCCGAACATCATCGTATTTGTGTTTAATTTTCATTAAAAGAGTTTCTCAATATCTGAACTTGTTCTATGAAACTTAGTATCTGTCAAAAGACACCAAAATTTGCTCCATATTTGTGCACCTACCTTGTTACCCCCCTTGCTTTTCCCTCCTTTACTAGATTCTAACTACAGCGTGAAATCTGTTATTTCGGATAATAAACCATAAAAGATAGTTTAAAGGACAAAGTGGGGAACCAAATCTATAGAGGCAAGATGCCATCTTTTCTTGTTCTGCTGCTGTAAAGAATTAAAGCGCGTACCTTCGTCGGTCTCTAGGAGTACAATTTAGTTGCCTGGGGCAACTAAATGTTTGGGGACTAATTATGAAATTGTTTTAATGGGAATAGCAAAATACTTTTGGGTCACTAGGCCACTTGGTTTGGTCAAAGGCAGCTAAATGAAATTTGTTTCGGTTCAAGCTTAATTTACATATTGAATATATATTTGGGTGCACTTTCATTGAAAGCACGCGATTTTCCTGCCATTGTATTTCCAGGTTTCCTCTTCTGATGTTTCGTTTTGGTTTTGTTCATTTTGAATTTCGTGTATTTTTTGTGCTAGTGAATATTTTTTCCCTGCCTGATGGTTTTTTTTGATTGAGTACTGTTTATTTCATGGTACAACTGTATAAATCTCTAAGTCGGCGTTTAGACCTTTCCGGCAATGCGGCGATCGAACCCATTGCGGTATCGGTATAGGAAACAAAAAGTGCATTAGGGACAAAAAAAAAAAGACCTTCAGGGAAGAAAAGGTCGATTTGTAACGAGTGAGATTATACTTGGAGAAGCGCTCGAGGCTTTCGATGTTCCTCTTTGAACTTAAAAAAAAAAAACATTCCTATTAGGTCGGTATAGGACCTGTAATGAAATTTCTCCCCCTGTAGCTCACTAATTAGTTTCTTTCGCAGGGCTATAGTATCTATTTCGTGCCCATTGTTTTTCTTGGTTTAACTTCTGTCTGGACCATTTATATTATCCCTACGAGAGAACAAATTGATTTTTTTATGGTATTCAATTTGGTTGAGAAGTTCGTACTCGCGTCTCATTTCGAGGGTTTTTGGCCCACAGTACTTCGTACCAAGTACTTCGCACCAAGTACTTCGCACGAGTGAGAATCGGACGCGTGTTAAAATGAAGCGACAATGACTCCAGTTTTTCCCAACTGCTAACGTCCGTTTCTCGAAACCATACTTCCGTTTTCAGAACTATTTGAGCAAATCCCAAAAACTCGGCAAACTTTTCACGAAACATCCGATTTCATTGCAAACTTGCAAGCGCGATTTTCATATCTTACGATTAATTTGTGTTGCAATATAATCAGCTACAAAGGGTTGAAAGAGAGATGTCATTTTATGGTAATTTTTATCAGTTAAAAAATATTTATGACCTTGGGACCCATTTTTGTCCGTAGCTGAGTGTTCCATCGGCTCGTTGAGGGGTTTTCGACCGGAGGAAACGCCATGCACCCTTTTCAATGACTTCTCGAAGTCTGACCTTTATCGGGGCGTGGGTGAGAAAAGGGTGATCTGTTTAAGCACAAATTTGTGCGTGGGAGTTTGTGCGCTTTCGAGCAGCGAAATAATCTCGATGGGCTTGGTTAAACCAGGTTAAAACCATCTAACCGATGGTTTTAACCTGGTTGGTCACTGTTGAAACACCCGCCGTATCCGAACGACAACCGAGCCTAGATTGTATAAGTTGTCAGAAGTAATTAAGGACACGATAATTCCTCATTGTAGGATCCGCAAAACTGTAAATATATTTTACGAACGACAAATATCACAGAGACGTCAGTGTATCAGCACGCCAACTATTATATTTAAATTGGCACGCCATCGATTATATTTAAAATTGGCATACGGCACACGTGCCAAACGTTCTTCACCGAAGCACATCTTCCAATAGAACACATTGCTGTCCTTCAGAACGAATTTAAAGGCCCTCGCGTCAGTTTAAAGGCCCCAGCACACCAGTACGTACGGTTTTGGCATGGGCACGCATTACCCTAACCTGGCTTATATTTGCGAGAAACTCGCATGGTTTTCTCGATCCCTACTCCAGCGTGGAGTCTCAACGGCTATGTTGAAGCGGAAACACTTGAAGCATTAAGCTCGCAAAAACAAAAGGGAGAAACCCGTGTCCCTATGCGAGAAAAGTTTCTACGATGTGAAGCCCAAGAATTGTTGAATCGAATTCGTTATAGTGTTATTTCTTTTTATTTCCGTGCTAGAAGCAGTGTCCATTATATTCCATTATACGTCCATTATATCTTTATTTTTTGGAGTGATTGAGTTTTCCCCTCAGTCACACGTTATCGTCTTTCTTGTCATCGCTTTCTCGCTCATGACAGAAAATAAGGAAAACTAATTTCCCGGACTATGCATTTCATCGCATGACGTTAATTCGAGTCTTAAAAAAATGAGAGAAACCGGCTGAAGGAGCTCTTTCCGCTTCTATTCCGGGTTACGATAAGGGGCCGGATGAGAAAGGAGCGCAGAGTTTGGAAAAATGTCCATCGAGATGTGAAATGGGGCTCTAGCGATTTTGGGGGAAACGAACACCAACGAAGAATTTTCTTTGAAAAACCGGGCACGAGCTGGAATGATCCGGTGATTTTTTGTCGCGTGGTCAACCTATTGATGTCATAGCCATTCTTCAAAAACTGCCGGTTGTCTGCATCCTCGTCACTTTTCGCAAAAGTTTTCCAAGAAACATTTTCCGACGCGGGAAGTTTCCGTTTCTGGCATCCGGCAACCCACGAAGCGACAGTTTCTCACGGCGATCGCAACTCGCTCCAGGGCTTCCAGGCCGTTCGCGTAACCCCGCGCGACGACGTCGCGGCCTCCACCGTCACGGGCTCGAACGCATCCTTTTAGAGCAGTCTGTAGCAACTCTCCGTTCCGGGGGGGAGGGCCTGCCTCCTTTCGTCGCTTCCGAGGATCCTTGGAGAAATGAGTCTCTGCGCCCAATCCGAATGCGGCCGTGTGTCTTCGCTTGTGGTGCTTCATGATTTTAACCTGGGGCTGTTGTGGTGCCGCATTTGGCGGGTGGGCCAATGGGCGAATTTTGTCATACTTATCAGGTCAACTTGAAACGACAGAAATCACATTCGGTCCTGTCAGTCTTGCTGAGGCTGTCAGTGGTTAGCTTCCTGCTGCAATCGAGCGCATCGAGTGACACGCCCCCTTGCAAAAGCAAAGTGCGAATGGAGATGGACTCCCAATTTCGGCATGGATGACGTCTGTCCGGGCGAGCTTGCGAAACCACGGCTGCTCCCATTCCTGTTCCGATTCCATTCGACGCGAGATTCCCCTGAAAAAATAGTCAACGAAGCGGATTCCTGCAATCAAGTAAATCACGATGGGTAATTAAATGCATGCAAATTGGGCAGGGAGATGATGACGTGCCCGATGCGGTCATTGGTCAGTGTGGGACTTCCGCCTTTCATAAAAAAAGTTACTTAGAATGGAACTCGTTCCCATTCTTTTGACCAACGATTGGCTTTTTTTTTAATGTTTTCATGCATGTAAATTAGCTCAATCGAGGTAATGAAGTTGCTGACCCTTTTCCATCGCTGTCATGGGACTATGCGTTCATCGTCTGACACCCTCCAAATATTCGGGTTTTTTTTTTGCAGAGGACGGAATAAGCAGACGCGTCGTCCTGAAAAAGAAGAAAATCGAGAGGGGCATATTCCAAGAATTTTTTTTTTCTGTCTGGAAAAGAATTCCCCGAGGGGGAATGCCGCGTCGGCGGCAGATTTCCCTTCGATCCGGAAGGAGGGCAGGTCAGAGGAAAGGTGACAGTGAAGGCCACGCACGCGGGGCGGGAATTGGGAGGCGGCGCCACCGCCTTTCATTCTCGCCTTGGATCCCGCTCAGGGAATGCCATACGCAGAGAATCAGATGATTTCGCAGCATGGTCCAGCCACGTCCGTGTGGGAGTTCCCTCTAATTTCTTGATGCGGGTGGGACTAAAATCATTTGGGTTACCGAGGAAATACTCAAGGAATGCCTAGGTTCCCCTTTAAGACCGAGCACGCGAGAAAAGCTTTGTTTGAAAAATATAAAATATGAGAAAAATATAATAGGGTTTACTGGAGCCAGCCTTGTTTTTTTTTTTTGCACGTTTCATTGCAAATGTTCGATCAAACCCCGTACGTATTCGGGCATGGACGGAGTCTTCGGCGCCATTTGAGCGAAGAATTTTTTTTTTCGATTTGAATTTCAAGACTCCTAATTCTGCCAACAATCGAACTGGAAAAAAAGCAGAAAAACGGAATGTCGGCAGGAGATTCGGCGAAATATAAATAGGTATTGCTATCTAATAAAGTTACCAAGTAGTGTAAAAAAAATAAATATGGTGAGCTTTCAGTCCGATTCCAGGCAGGCGATTCTGATGAAAAATAAGACATATAATAATTTTTTAAAATTATTTATTCCCATGGTATTTTCTCTCCCCGGATATTTTTTTCCCTTCGATTTTTTTTTTCCCGCCCTCCAGTCACTCCGGGAACTTTAAAGTTGTTACTGTCTGTCTGCTCGCAGCTGTTTTTGCTTCCGTAACTGCTCCAGTCAAATTGCCGAGAGAACTGATTCTTCTTCAGAGATCGAAAATATTAACTACATGTTAAATAACTAATTAAATAACTAACTTTTCCTTGGGATGGGAATCGGCGCAGCGCCGAAAGATCGTTTTTTTCCTCGGACCTCGCCGTTTTTTTTTTTGCAAACGCTGGCTCGCTGGAGAACCGGCATTTTTTGCATCTGGGAACAGAAAATTGCTGAAATTGCTGGTTGTCAAAATTAAAATTAAAAAAACATGCTGAATCTTAATCTGAATCTCGTGAACGCGCATCAATCACATTGAAATGGTACGATGTAATATTTAAAAAAAATACTTAAGAGTATATTAGGCGAAGAAAGAGTGAGGGCAATATTGTTCCAATATAATTGTCCTTACCATGCAACTTTTTTTTTGCTGTATTACACCACACTTGAATTTAAAAAAAAAAAAATTAAAATTTGAAGTTCGTTTTAAGTGATGCTTTCATGCTTCAGGTCTGGTTCTTTAATTTCTTGGACATTCAGATGTTTCTCGCGCAAGTCGCGTGTTGGGTCCTGCGTTTACGCGAGCAGTTTTTTTTTTTATTTTTCTTTGTTTGAATTTTTAAACAACTCTTTATGGGGAGATTTTCTTTAACTTTCCTTCTTGAGAAATTCTCTTTGTATTGAAAGAATAGTATTTCCTTTGGAAGAAAATGAAAGGAATTGACTTCCTAATTGACACGACTGATTAAGGAAGCTTTCTTAATATTATTAATATTATTTAATATTATTTTTGGCATGAGAGGCTAATTCACAGCAAGTCTCCAGTATTCTTTAAAAAAAAAAGTAAATGTATTAAAACAGAATTTAAAATTAAAATGTAAAATTACATGGTCCCAGTCTACAGAAGCACTCCGAGAGCACAATATTAAGAATATATTAACAATTGCCTCGTCTTTCAGCAAGGGGAGTCACGGAACGCGAGACTAAAGGATTTGTTTGAAGATGCGGCGAAAACGGAGCAAGGCAAACGACACAATGTGTCGTCAAAGCGGGAATGCCCGCGTGGCATCTCCAGGCACGCACGATGCACGTGCGACACACCCCTCTGATGCACGTGCGACACACCCCTCTGATGGGCGTGCGACACACCCCTCTGATGCACGTGCGACACACCCTTCTGATGCGCGTGTCGCAAAAAAAAGCTCTGCAAAGCTCGCGCGTGCACCGACTCCCAACCTCGACCCAGGATCGCGTTCCCGGTCCAGGTCCAACCGGACCTGGTCCTGTTGGACCTGGACCTGGACCTGCACCTGCCTTTCGACAGGTCCAAGTGCATTTCTCCAGGATGTCCTCGACGCTCGACACCATCTCAAACAGCCTTCGCACCTTTGAGGACTGCAGCGCGGAAAATCCGCTGGTGATTTGTGAAGATTTCGGCCTTTGGGAACTCGAGCAAGGTTCTATTTAAAAAAAAATTTTTTTTCCAGATTTAATAAGTTTAGCACCGCCTGATCCTTTTATCTCTTCATCGCTCAATTCGATCGGAACTTGAAAGTTTGAAGACGCGAACAAATTTCGAATTTGAAATTGCGATGCTGTTACAGGATCATCCTGACGCGGATCATCCTGACGCGGATCATCCTGACGCGGATCATCCGGATTTCCGGGCGTCGGTGTTGCCTCGGAAGATGCCGGCCAACTTTTACACTCACTGGTGACAAAAAAAAAATTAGGATGCATCAGTAGGAGGCATCAGTAGGATGCATCAGTCAACTTTAAACGGATTAGATTAGGAAACCTAAGGATCCAGCCATTTTTCTCCAAAAAAAAAAACATCATTGCAGCATGGGTATTTGTTTCAGAAAATAACCAAGGTGCGACTGGATGCATGAGGTTTATACCAGTTCCTGTGGAGGGAGACCCTTCTTGGAAAAAAAAAAAAATTTTCCTGGAAAAAATTTATCCTGAAAAGAATTTATCCGGAAAGAATTTTTCCTGGACGGGATTTCCGGATTTCTCCCACGTATCATTTCTCTCTGCTTCAAATTTCAATCAATGGAACTGAATCGAATCCGAATTGGATTGAAAAGTGAGAGGAACGTTCCAAACTTCGGCGTTCATTAAAGCTGGGCCTGGAAGGATGGTAAGCATGTCTGGAAGGATTCTAAGCAACGAACCAAGATGAACCGCGTTTACCGAAAATTCCCGGCCGCGTCTCAATCGTGTTTATTATATATTTACCACATCTGATAATATCTGGGACGGAGGACTCAGAGAAGGGTGATGTGCCCGATCCGGTGGCGCGTGAGATGCGCCTTCTGGCAGAAGCTCCGGCCGCACTCCCCGCAGGTGTAGGGGCGCTCGCCCGTGTGCATCCGGACGTGCCGCACCAGCTTCGTCCGGGCAGGCGCGCGGTAGCCGCAGCGGCCGCAGAAGTGGAGGCGCGCCGCGTCCCGCGTCTTCCCCGTCCAGACGAGCGGCGACACTCCCTCGATCGTCTGCAAAGGAGAAATTAAGTCGCGGCTTATTTCATGCATGCATGAATTACTTATGAATAAATGCTTAAAGCATGATTGAAATAATTGTTAATTTTGCCTGCAGGCATATTTCAAGTCAGACTTTACAACCGAAAAAAAAATTGCACATGAGGAAAAATCAATTTCTGCATCCGAAAATTTTCCATCGTAACTGGTTAATCCCAGAGGGATAATCTTTTTTTTTTAATCAGGACGCAGATGTCTCAGTCGCTCCTGAAATCGCTTCTGCTGAGGGCCATATTAAAAACTCATTTGGCCCCAACATCAGAACCATTCTGCCAGCTCGCCCATATGCCACGTGGCTCTGGTCATAATAATAATAATACATCCATTACGGACATTACATCCATTACGGACGCCAATCTTAGGGCTTCCGGTTCGACGGCTCAAAGGGGGGAGGCGACGATTCAGAATTTCTGCTTTTTTTCGTGGAAACGTATCCAAGTATACCTCGTGAATTACAACCAGCTGCTTTTCAGGTTTCAAAGCATTTCATTCAACTTCAGGAAAAAAAAAAAACATTCACAGCTCTCGAATGTAACATTTCACCGAACACGCGTCACGCGGCCACACCGAATGTCACGCGGCCACACCGAATGTCACGCGGCCACACCGAATGTCACGCGGCCACACCGAATGTCACGTGGCCACACCGCGGATTCACAGCAGATTCAGATGGCTGATGCGGTGGCGGGTGAGGTGCGCCTTCTGGCAGAAGCTCTTGCGGCAGTCCTCGCAGGTGTAGGGCCTCGCGCCCGTGTGGGTGCGGACGTGCCGCGCGACGTCGGCCTTCTTCGGCGAGCGGTAGTCGCACAGTCGGCAGAAGTGCAGGCGGATGTTCCCCCACGTCTTGCCGCTCCATCCGAACTCCATGTCGGCTGCGACTGTCTGCGGGAGAAATGCAACAGGGGACGAGGGATTAGAGGGGAGCCAATTGGCAAAAAATTGGTTAGCCAATGGTTTCCAACAGGTCGGTAAAGGGATTATCTGATTTTTAATGATAAACTCGTCGTTATCTTAATGATTTCCATATGAGATGTAGCATTAGCTGAAAATTCACTCAGATGAGGAATTTCATCCAGCCTTACCAATTGGATATCTGAAGCTGGAAATACATGAGTAATACCTCCATCTTGCAGCCTAGACTCGTGTTCAAATCAATGCCAACCGCCATTGGCATCGGCATTGGCTTCATGACAGGCTCGGAGCGACAACCCAAAAATAATTGGAATCCGAGTTTCCATACGAGCATTTACGCTGAAAGGCATTTTAGAACGTCTCATTTATTCCGGATTGGGAATCACGACAGAGCGAATGCAGAAAAGGGCACTTAAGCTTCCGATTCAAATTTCAGGTGGATGTCGCATCACAAGGGCCGAAAGAAGAAGGCGATGCAGCTGCGAGGAGCCGATCGAGATCGTCTCGAATGCGAATTGCGACCCATTCACTTTGTGGGAGACCATACAATATTATATATTTCATTACTCGCCCATTCACTTTGTGGGAGACCATACAATATTATATATTTCATTACCCGCCCATTCACTTTGTGGGAGACCATACAATATTATATATTTCATTACTCGTTTCCATGTTTCAATCTTTTAAATAAATAAAACAAATGACTCAGATTTTGTTCGAGAGAATATATTTCAGGAAAATGCAGGAAAACTCAGAAGCGACGCATGTGGCTCACGAGATGGCGAGTGAGATTCGCCTTCTGGGTGAACCGCCTTCCGCACTCCCCGCAGTCGTACGGCCGCACGCCCGTGTGGGTCCGGACGTGCCTGGCCAGGTCGGTCCTCCGGGTCGAGCGGTAGTCGCACAGTCGGCAGAAGTGGAGGAGCGGGCTCCCCTGCGTCTTCCCGCTCCACGTGAACTCCGCGTCGGCTGCGACCGTCTGGAGAGGAAACCCGAGCGTGGGTCACACTGGACTTATGCTAGAGTCAGTCTTTAACCGACTGGTAATTATGGTAATTTCCCCTGCGTCTTCCCGCTCCACGTGAACTCCGCGTCGGCTGCGACCGTCTGGAGAGGAAACCCGAGCGTGGGTCACACTGGACTTATGCTAGAGTCAGTCTTTAACCGACTGGTAATTATGGTAATTATGGTAATGGATAATAATAATATAATAATAACAAATAATAAGGGTTTGCAAGGTGACCGTGTTCGGGAACAAAAACTCCTGCATGGAAATGGACTTCTGTCTATGTTCAAGTTCAAGTTCAGGTTCAAGTTTATGTTCAAGTTGAGGTCTAATCATGAATGCAGAAGCAAATCCAACCAAGTAATTTTTATTTGAGATGAGATCAAACATGTATATAGACGAAAATGAGGGGAAAAGCCATTCGTTCTAGGTAGATCACAAAAAAAAAAGAAAATGACAAAACAAATTCAAAAAGGAATATCATTTGGAGAGTTCATTCTTCAATCTTCGAGCTTCTGAGACTGCAACGTGCTTGAAGGCGAAATCAATTCTGCTCCGAAATGAGATGCTCTTGCACAGAATAAGCACTCGAGACTTGCAAAAAAAATTCAGGGTTACTGTGAAACAGCCATTACTGTGAAACAGCCATCTGCGAAAGAAAAGCCAGGATGAAGGTGAAATGTCACAACCTGATGAAAAGATACCTTACAGGTTCGGAACGAACCATTTCGCATCTAGCCGAGAGGTGACAGCATAAATTAACGCTAAAAGAACCGTGAGGGTCTGTTCCTTGACTTATCCTTAAAGAAGTCTAGAGAATCCTTAAAGAAGTCTAGAGATAAGAAGGAGTTGCCAGAGCCATTCGCGTCACTTGCTCAGGTGACTTTACAAAAAAATGTCGCACTACAAATATAATTCTAGGATTACTTCATCCACCTTACTTCATCTACAAATGTGCATCGACTAACTTGCATAGAATTTCAAAGTCTAGCAATGATAGAAGGCTGGTTGAAATGAGCGCTGCACGAGACTAAGTACTACAAGTACTAAGTACCATGCTATGCCGGTAGGACTTACATCGTAGCCGGCTCAGGAGAGTCGCACGTGGCGCACCATGTGACGGGACAGGATGTCCTTCCGGGAGAAGCCCATCCCGCACGCTTCGCATCGGTGCGGCCGGTCTCCGACGTGCCCGCGGACGTGCCGGCGCGTGTTGGCCTTCACCGCGCTGCTGTAGCCGCACAGCTCGCAGAAGTGGATTTGCCTGCTGCACCACGTCCGCCCGCTCCATGCGAATTTCACGTCTGGCGTGATCGTCTGCGGAAGAAACTCGGGCTTTGAA